CTTCTTCCAATTCTAATCTCTCATCAAACTCAATAACTATGAGGGTTCCAACAGAATGGTTCAAAGTTGGTAAACTTCTAAAGAGTTTCAGAGAAACTTTAGTATCATAAAATCAACACACACATTCTATAGTTTAATCATATGTATTTGTTAGCAAAACAGGTGGATATTAATGTAGGACAGTAGCTAGGGTACATAGATATGGAACCAAGAGTATCTTTTAGACGTGTGGTTCAGTCTTTTCTGAAGAACTATTTCGACCTTTTCAAAAACAAATTTGGAATATACATATGTTACACTTTAAGAGGCAAAAAAATGACGATAAAGATTACGCGGTTCGTCGATTTATATAAACGCGTTACACAGGAAGTCTGTGTTTATGGATAATATATACGTTTTACAAAATTTCGTAAAGAATTATTCACAATCTCTTTTAGAAGGAATTGCTACTCTAGTGAGAAAATTCAAACCCTACAAAAAAAAAATGAAGCATTTCAGAGTGAATCTTTCAACTACTAGAGTAACTAGACAAACAATTCTGTCTTTCAAAATTGAGATAATTACTAAAATAATTTTGGAAAATAGGTTAATTACTATAACAATTTTTCTTCATGAAACTCAACACAAGTTATAAAAGACAAATAAACCTTAGTAACAAATTTTTATTACGAAAATGCCATTCATAATTTATATTAAAAAAAAAATCAAACATTTGTTTGAAACTGCGGCCGCGGAGACTGCGGAAGCACCGGATCGTGCTCGACGGAAGTGTGGAAGCTGCGGAAGCACCGAGATTTAGGTAAAAATCGGATTAAAAATTAAAAGTTGNAAAAAAANCTCAAAATNTTTTGATTTTTNNNTNNNAAANNGATATANGATGTTAGATNTACTAGTTTTAGGCAAAATCCAGTTGAAAACGAGTTAAAATACAGTAAAAATGAGCTAAAAAGTGGCTGGCCGCCATTGTTAGGGTTTGAGAGAAGTTTGGTGTTGTGGAGAAGATGAAGGGTAAATTACGATTTTACCCTTTATTGAATAAATCTACCACTACTATAAATAAGTCTACCACATATTATAAATCTACCACTACTATAAATAAATCTATCACTACTATAAACAAGTCTAAGGTTGTTTTAGTAAAAAAGTGAAAAGATTGAATAAATCTACCATTACAATAAATAAGTCTACCACATATAGTAACTCTACCACTATTATAAATAAGTCTACGATTACGCGAACCATCAATAAGTCTACCGATCATAAAATAACTCTACCACAACTACTAATAAGTCTATCACTCAAAAATAAATCTACTACTACTGTAAATAAGTATACGATTGCGCGAACCATCAATAAGTTTACCGATCACAAAATTAACTCTATCACTACTACTAATAAGTCTATCACTCAAAAATAAATCTACCACTACTATAAATAAATCTACGACTGCACGAACCATCAATAAGTTTACCGATCACAAAATTAACTCTATCACTACTACTAATAAGTCTATCACGAACCATCAATAAATCTACCGATCACAAAATTAACTCTACCACCACTAGAAATAAGTCTACCGATCACAAAATTCACTCTACCACTACGAGAAATAAGTCTACCACATATTATAAATCTACCACTACTATAAATAAGTCTACCATTGCGCGAACCATCAATAAGTCTACCAACCACTTAATAAATCTACCAATCGCAAATAAATCTACCATCACATGAACAGTAGACTTATTCGCTGCCTCATTAATGGCAGTTTCGTAAATACATTTTTTCTCTTCAAAGGAAATAAAGGTAAAACGGATATTAATAGTTTTCAAGGTTGTTTGAGTAATTTTCAAAAAATAGCATCATTTTGGTCAAAAATCAACTTTCTAAGGTTAAAGTTGTTTTAGTAAGCTCATTTAAAATTTGTTAATCTCATTTTCAAACATATTAAAACCAAAAAAAAAGTCGGTAAAATTATTTTACTTAGTTAGTTAGGCTACTTTGCAAACTGACCACTAATTTTCCTTTAAAACTATGAAAATTTGATAAAAAAAACTAAAACAGATAATGAAAAATTTGGTAATCCTTTTTTTTTCCTTACCCAAAAAAGGTTTAGAGACAAAACTCTTATCCAAGAGAACACTAATACTCAGAATATCCACAAGCCCGTAATAACAAAAGTATATTTTGTATACACATCATACTATCATTAAAAGAAGAAGCCAATATTATCTCCATGAGCTAGATAAGCAAATCAGCATAAGCATTGAGTCCATGGCTGTTCATGTTCTGCTTAAGCCTGTACAATGCCCGGCTCTCTAGCTGCCTTACCCTCTCCTTCGACAATCCGTAAATCTCTCCTATCTCCGACAATGATCTCTGTTTTCCACCATCAATCCCAAACCTTAGCTTGATGATCCTTCTCTCCTTTGGGCTCAGTACATTGAGGAGATTCCGTACATGGTTCCTCATCAACTGCTTCCCCACGCTTATTGCCGGTGTCTCAATCCCACTGTCTGGTGTTACTTCCTGTGGATGGATTAAACGGTGGTTATTACCATGTTTTGCTCGGTAAAAGTAACATCTTCAAAATGATTTACCTGAAAGGTGGTGTCTTGATCAGCCCAAATGGGTTGTTGCATTGATAGAGGTGTTCTTGTATTGTACAGCAGTTTATCCAACTTCTCTGTTGAAACTCCTACGTGGCCTGCAATTTGCTCTTTACTTGGACGGTAATTTCCTTCCTGAAGACACGTTTTTCTGGCTTCGGATACTTTGCCCAGTAGCATGTATACGTTCTCCTGTATTAACATGAGTACATATTACCAAGTCTTGCTTCAGAACTTGATCCTTTACTGTCTAGTAGATAATGTCAGATTTGAATAATCTTTAACAAGTTTGTAGTTACCGGCAATCGGATTGTTCTCGAGTTTTGAAATATAGACTTCCTTATGGATTGTCGAATCCACCAGTAGGCGTAAGTAGCAAATCTGCATCCGGATTGTGGTTTGAACTTCTCTACACTCTTCATTAGCCCCATGCTTCCTTCCTAAGAACCATTAGATAAGCACAAGAAGACGTATCATAAGAATGGATTTCAAGTTAGATCACACTAAATGGCAAACTCGAAATACTGAAGAGCTTGAGATACTACAACAGTGTCGGATATTTTTAACCAGAAATCTTTTGTGTCTAGGCAAAATAGTTCATCACATTGATCAGAGATATTTAGAAGGCAAAACCAATGTTTCGTTTGAAGCTAACCTGCAATAAGTCCTGAAAGTTGAGTCCGCGATTCTGATATTGTTTAGCGATATGGACTACGAGACGCAGATTTGCTGTGATCAGCTTTTCCCGGCTGCTTCTGCCACGGTGGATTTCAGATTTCAAGACAGGGCCACTTATCCCCATAGCTTCAGCCCATTCCCCTATTGTTGGTTCACAGCCGTTTTGAGATTCAAGTTTAGTCTTAACCTTCTCCAACTTTATCAAATGCTGATATATCAAAGATTACCGAAGTTAGCATCAGGGAAAAGTTTCCTCAGAAGCTCAACAAGAAGGAAGTCCAAGGACACAGAAATAGCAGAAGCATGAACCTGTATATGTGCTATCAGCTCAGCTTCCTGTTTCACAGTCAGAAGTTGTTTTGTCTCAGGTCCCCACAAGAAGAGCTGGAGCGCATCATCCGTATCAAACCCTTGTTTCATCTTCTTCTTGGCGTTAATTTTCTGAGGAACATTACCCTCATTGTCCACATCGTTTGATTTTGGAGCCCTTCTGTTCCTTGCTCGTCTCTCCAGTAGCCGCTTCGATCTCACTATTGTTCCCTCTTCTGGTAAGGACATGGAAGAGCTATATAACCAACAATCAGAAACAGAAACATTTACACATTATAGCCCACACGTAGGAGCAACATTATTGATGAGATAAACAAACAAGGTTTTGAAAAAGCAACCTAGTGGAGAGAGAATCCCCGGGGTTATCAGGTGGATCTGCTTCGGTGTCTTCAGCTAACAATGCAGCTTGTTTTGAAGCTGATAAAGCCTTCTGAGCTAGTGCAACCACATCACAAGGCTCCGCATCTGCTAAGGTCGATACAGCTTCCGGCAATTGCTTTTCAACTGTTAAAGGAGATATCAACCTGCAAAACCGAAAGATTACATCATTCAGGAAACTCATAGATTGAATAAAAAATACAAACCAAAGAGTTTAGGAGGGAAGAGACATTACAAATTCCATAAACCAGCAGAGTGAAGCAATTGCTGTTCAAATTTCTCATCTTCACCAGATGAAACCAATTCATCAAACTGCTTCCTCTCCAGAGTCAACTAAAATTGCAAGGAACCAAAGAGATCAGTATCACGTACATTCGAAGGCGGAAACATAAACAAGATTGAAGCTATTAGGACAATACGGCTACTAAAGAAATGCACCTGAGATGTTCTGTCTTCTCTCAACGCATGTGAGAGAGGTCTAGACTCTTCCCGTGGCTCCTGTGAGAGAACCGACGCAGGGAAATGTCGAGATAGAGAAGTGAGATGACGTGAGTTAACTACAGGAGTTGCTGTTTGTTCATGAAGCATCACTACTGCAAAATACCCAGAAAAACAAAAGAAACTCGTTAAATCAGAAACATTGTCAATAAAAATTGCATTTTTTTTTTAATCTGAGCACATAACATCAGAAGCAACAATCATCTAAACTGAATCACGAAACCACAAGGGGAAAATCCAGAGAATGCATAGACGAATTGGAATTGAAAAAATGGTGGTAAAAAAAAAAAAGTACCAGAGGAAGGAGAAGAGTAGCTGTTCTTGAGATGGGTTTTCGTCTGAAACGAAGGAGATGAAGAAACCAAGCTCCTCGTAGCTTCCATTTCACCCAAAAGACTCTGTTTTTTGCTTCTGCGAATGGCTAAGGAAGAAGAAGAAAGAATAATAACATGAGGCTACTCTACAAACTCATCACCAAGCAGATAAGGCAAAATCACTCCCATTTTTTTTTTTTAATTAAACCTCCTTCTGCCATGGAAGTGTAGATTTTATTCTCTCCTCTTTTTTATTTCTACTTAAAAATCAAATTGGGCCTAAACCCAACAAAGCCCAAATATCCAAAAAGGTTAATTAATTATATGATTAGGGTAAATAAAAGTGTTGGGTTCATTTGAAATCATCGTCGTCTTCCTCTTCGAAACCCTAATTTCTTGTTCACCATCACTGAAAGGAACTACAAAATCGATGAGTTCGGAGATGGTGTTTCACGAACTATCCACAGATGAGTCAAATCTCAATTCCGCGACTCCCAAATCGCGTTCCGAAACGCCGATCGTTAAATCCGCCGGAGGTCGTATAGCCAAGGACCGTCATATTAAGGTAGACGGAAGAGGCCGTCGTGTTCGGATGCCGGCTCTAACCGCCGCTCGGATTTTTCAGCTGACTCATGAGCTCGGTCACCGATCTGATGGAGAAACCATCGAGTGGCTATTAAGACAAGCCGAACCGTCGATTATTGCGGCTACTGGAACCGGAACAGTTCCGTCGGAGCCAATCTCTACGTCGGTGGGACTTGCGGCGGTTGAGTCTTCGTCAAACGAAGGGCAAGTGATGTTCGCTACACTCGCGCCGCAAACGCAGATGCAACCGCAACAAACGTTGTTTAATCAACCGCCGAGTTGCTGGTTAGATCTAAGTCAGCCAATCGGAGTTCACTATTCCGTGAATGGTGGCAATCATATGCCGTTCACGGCGATGCTTTTACAGCCGATGACGACGACGGCGGAAGCGGCGGATTCTGATGTTGAGAACAC